GGGACATCCAAGGACTTCTTATTCTCAACTCATGTGGTGTGTCAATGAGAATGTATGTTCAAGACAGAGACACAGAATTTGGCAAAGAGTTACATGTGATTTAAAGGTCCTAGCTTTCTCCCATTGACTAAGATGAAATAGTAGCTTTATCCTAGTGGTGCATTGATCTGTGATCGTGTTTGAAAACCAGGGCTTGTGCAAAATGAGTGTACTTATTATGATTGCAGCTACATGTTTCTTGTTATTGCAGTTGATATTTTGGTGTTGGGTTTTGCTAATCTAGTGGCTGATGGAATATCAAAGGGATTTGGGGATTATGTGTCCAGCAGAACTCAAAGGGATGTAGCTCCCAAGAAGAGATCAGTCACTGAGTGGGATGTCATTAACCAACACACTCCTCAGAAGCAGGGATTACTTCAACAGTATCAGGCACTTGGAATGGATCTTACTGATGCTAATACTGTATGCTCTTGTAACTATTTAGTGTGTGTTATCTTCTGATAAGGATTTCAGTGCTGTTATGATATTGTTGCTGTATCGATCGATTAACAATCTGTATTTGCTTTGGTGCAAGTTGGTAAACATATTTGCAAAGTATAGGGAGATACTGGTGGACAAGAAGATGGCAACTGAGAAAGGATCATTGCCACAAGAGCAAGGTGAGAAACCATGGAAGAATGGGCTAATCACATGTGCTGCTTTCGTTGTCTGTGGTTGTGTCCCTCTTCTGGCATTCCTTGTGCTCATCCCATTCACACACAATGACACACACAATTTCATAGGCTCCTCTGTGTTCTCTGCTGTTGTACTTGTACTGCTAGGTATTGCCAAGGCCAAGATTGCTGGTCGGAGTTGTCCTCGTTCCGCGGCCGCCACCCTTGTCAACGGAGCCATTGCTGGGGCTGCTGCCTATGGTATTGGTTGGACACTTAGGAATGTTGCTGGGCTGGAAGACTGATCCCTACTAGAGATAAATTCAGGATATAAACTTGAGTTGTATCTTCAAGGTTCTTAGCATTAAATTCATTGTACTTTTAAAATCACGAAACATCATTTAATATATGTTTAAATTATACTAGTAATTTCTTACATACATATCTATATCTATGCTCCGTATCGAAAGTACTGATTCAATTGAACCCATTGACTATAGGCTCCATTCGCCTATGATCCCTACTATCTCAACTGGTTTTGTTATAGAGTTCTGTTAGGTTTTAACCATTCTTGTGGTATCAAAATCCTGTTCTTAATTGAATTATATTTTACAGCAGTTCGCAATCATGCTTACGAAAAATGTATCATGCAAGTACTCATCATCAGGATCACGAACAATTAAAGCAAGATATTGTGTATTGAACAATTTCAAATCTGGATGTACTAGTGTATATGTTAAGGTCAGAAAGCATTTTTATTGGTTAAAAGTACCAAAAAAACGAATAATTGTAGAAGTGTTATAAAACAATAAAAGTAGAAGAACAATATTGCAGAGAAAGAGAGAGAAGGGATTCTTATTGAATTTTTGGGATGAGTTACAATAGAATAGAACCCTCTATTTATATGGAGAGGGTGACTTAGCCACCATGCAATGAACCCTAGAATCTCTCTAAATATAGACATTCACCATAAATATAATTCTATTTATAACACTCCCCTTAATGTCTATTCAACAGATAATGTGCCTCGTTAAAATCTTAACTAAAATAAAACCCAGTGGGAAAAAAAATTCTAGAGAAGGAAAAAGAGTACGCATATCTAATAATACGCCTTTTGGTTGCCTCGTTAAAAACCTTTCAAGAAAAACCCAGTGGGACAAAACCTTGTAAGGGAAAAAGAGTACAACGCGTATTAACTCCCCCTGATGAGAGCGTCAATTCACATCTTTAAACATTTGCACTCCAATCTTGTGCACCATCTTCAAAAGATCTTTGGTAGAGATTTGATAAACAAGTCAGCCATATTAACTTGAACGAATTTGTTTCACCTTGAAATCATCATCCCTAATAGATGTATTGTCTTCATATGATCTTGTCGGAATCGTCAATTCAATATCTTCACATAGAGGTGAAAACTCTTGCTATCATATTATCATGCATATAATTATAGCAAGATACATTTGTGCACAAATTGTACTGAGGAAGTGGTACTTCAAGATCAAGAATTGTATATGCTTCAAGCAACTTAAATCCTTCATGGATTGTCATATAAATTAAGTCATATAAGCCATATAATAGACTTTAGATGCATATCAAGTTTTCATGTCATGCTAGACATATAAGATACCGAAAACTGATTGCACATATCATTGACTTTATACTTTCAAGTGTTTGAACTACATGTCCAAAACTACATGTCTTCATATGAAACCAAATTCTACTTGAATTGTTTCTTCAGACTTAAGATCCTCATATATATATTTAGCGCTATCATAGATGTCGTCGACAAACATTTTATATCGGTTCCAACCTCCTTATTTTTCATAAAGACATAACATAGAGATCTCTTCATTCATATATTCAGGTACCTGAATCTCTCATGAGATTTTATGAAGTGTTATGTCATGTGATCTTCTAGATCACTTGCCTCCTTATTATGATCATTTGCTCATCTTCTTTATCAAGAAGTTTTATTTGAAACCGATTTGTCTGTATGCTATAAGCGTACCATAGACTTTGTCCTTCTAGGACTTAATATGAGCATTTGCAATGAGAATATAGTTACTTTCTTTGGGCCAGGAAATGCGTCTGGCATGCTTTTGCAATAAATTGCATATGAATTATCCTTTTATGAACTTCAAGTTCATATTATTTTATTCGAGGATCTAGATGTATAAATGATAATTCATTCCATGTAACTTTTTCTCAACTGTTTATCATGTCTCCCCCTCATGTTAGAAAAACTAACTTGTTTCTCGACTTTGAGAACTCATCTTTGTGCTTTATGGTGTTAATCAAAATATACACCGCACATCAATAATAATAAGATGGAATTATTTGGTTCCTGACCATGAACCACTTGTAAGGGGAGAAAATAATATACTTTCGTATATAACGTATATCAAACTTATATAGATAACTTTGTTCTCATAAGCAATAGTTTAGCTATTAAGTGGAGGCACTCAATAAATTATTTTGCTAAACCAACTGTGATGTAAACCAACTTATCAAGATGAACTTCTTAAATAGAAAATCTGAAAATTATGCTCTATATTAAATTATTGAGCAAGTTACCTCGCAAACACCAAGTTGTGGGTCAATAATAATTGCACATGTAACCATCTCATAGATACATCTTATGTGGTATACATGGCAGGTGAATGGGCCCATATTCACCTTTGATATTTCCAGCATTCATGGGATTCAATCCCAATTTTAGTTGGTCTATTAATTAATGAGAACAAGCAATGTAAGAGAATTCGTAAAGAACTTTCTAGTTCTTTAATATTTACCCATGTGAATTCTCTATTATTTTTGCACATCATACTTAAAATGATATGGCTAAACCAATTATGCCAACTGAATAAATTATCAATATTGATAAACTTCAGATTTACACCATGACGTGTGCAATTATCAATAAACTCCAAGTTTATTATGATATGGGTTTTTATATCAATTAACATCCACTTTATTGTGGTATTCTTTTATTTGTGTAGTACAAACTGGAGAATAAAGCGGGTAGCTTTTCACATACATATTACCCAGCTACAAGTTGTAGTAATAGAAGATATTAAATCTTTCCTTTATTTATAGTCTCAATATAATCAACCGCTTTCGCGTATACTTTGGAAACTGAATAAGTTTCTTTGAGACTTACTACAACACAATACCTTATTGGTAATTAATTGTGTTTCTCCAAATAGTATAATTGGTTCTTCCAGAGTTCTCAATTAATTTTGTAGTACCACATATTCATCAACACCATATGGTGAATATCTCTTTTAAAGAGAAAGTTATACCATTAAGGTTATGGTCAAAATTATATGCAAGATATGTTTCTTGCATTACCATTGTCTTTTAATAATCACAATGCCAAAATATTTTGGCGTACAATAGGTACGTGACCAATGACACCAATGACCATTCATGCCATTCTTATATCATCTCAAACCTCCTTTTAGAGGTGAGTGCGGTATATTCACTACCACTAGCACGTTCATATTCTTTGAAGAATGAATATGTATTCATAAATCAGATGTTATCACATTCACATCATGAATGGACCATAAGCATCTATAGGTGCTTTACAAAATCTCATGTCAAATCGATGACAAATATTTTTCACAAAGTGAAAGATTATTTTGAGAATCCTTATTGTTCTCATTACCACAAATGATGACGATTATAATTTCGTCTATTGCCACGTCCATATCCATTAATACATTCATAGTAATAATTTTGTCTTCTTTCAGACTTATCACATACTGCTATCACATTCTCTTAAGGGAATGAGAATGGAGCAAATTCAATGGGACGGGTTTCCAATTCTTTGCCCACAATCATACATGAATTTGATCATGGCGAGGCATAGAAATTTTACCACTTCAGGTGGTTATAATTTCTTACAAACTCCATTAGAGTTATAATCAAACTTTGTTGTCTTTGATTGTATTTAAAATCAAAGTATAGAATAAAAGAGAAAAATACGATAAAAGACTTACCTTAAATCCAGAATTTAATCATGAAGGAAGTTCATGGAATAATTGACAATCATTATGCTCAATCCCAAAGCTTTACTCAACTGGTTAGAATCTCGTGCTGATAACGTGTTATAAAACAATAAAAGTAGAAGAACAATATTGCAGAGAAAGAGAGAGAAAGGATTCTTATTGAATTTTTGGGATGAGTTACAATAGAATAGAACCCTCTATTTATAGGGAGAGGGTGACTTAGCCACCAAGCAATGAACCCTAGAATCTCTCTAAATATAGACATTCACCATAAATATAATTCTATTTATAACAAGAAGCACTTTAACACAAAAACGTTTTAAAAATAACAGTACAAGTAAAATAGCAATAAATAATTATATAATAAGTTTATTCTCATGCATTAAGGTATATGGAAACCAAAATCAGAATAATGAAGAAAAGAAATTGTGATGAGCACCGAGTACCAGCTCGCTCTCACCAGCAGGTACCATGTTCATCCTTTTTTTCTATACATAACAATAGTGTCCAGCCTAACTCGCCCACATCTCGACTAATCTATCGAGCACCGCACGCTCTTACCCGGTGTCACGTAACTCTATCTACCAAGGTTTAACATATCCAATATCTTTAAAAACAAGGAATGATCATAACCAAAATCTTTGCTAAAATAGCCATCTTGAAATGTTCAAACTTGGGTAGACACATCTAGATTTCCTCAGGAATTGCTACCTGAAAGCTCCGTTTGTCTTTTCCTAATCAACAAGAGAAGATCATTACCAAATATTTGCTCAAATAGATCTCTTGCTGAATGTACAAACTTGGTTTAGATATACTCTAGATTTCCTCAGTCAATGCCAATTGCAATGCATGCTCTGCTTCCTTCAGGAACAGACGAGTCAGTTGTTTCTGCCCCCGCCGATATATTATGCTGGACCACCTATTTCTGCTCAGAAAATGATTCTGGATGCCGCCATTGGTCTTGGATCTGCAGTAAACAACCCAGGAAAGTGTGGTCTTAGTAACGTTAACATACATGCAATTTTCATGTTGGTTGGTTAGTAATAAAAACTTCTCTTAAAGTTTCAAGTCTGAGAGTAGCTTGCAATCATACTCTCTGCAATCTTCTGGAATTTCTTCGATGCAGGCTTTCTCAAGTAATTCAGTGTCATTCTCCTCTGTCCCTGAACCCTCTTCCAGATCCAACATCCTTTAAGAGCATACAAAGTTTAGAGAGTAAACAAATACAAGATTGTCAACTATCAAGATAGGAGTAACACAAACAAAAATAAGAAACCCTTTTAGGATCTGGATTTTCCCACAAACTTGACAAAGTCTTGTTTTCCCCACAAATTTGACGAATTTACAGAATTTGACGATGATAGAGTAGACTAAGTTCCTAAAAATAGCAACAGTTTTTATGCCAAGTTTGTGATTTTACTTTAAAGATTTCTCAATGCAAGTTGGAAGCCGTTGTTGTACAGATGACTGTTAACTTCTCTGTCTGTAACTGGGTTCTTAACCAACCGACCTCACAACCCACCCATAATCCATATCCCTTTCTATTATCCAAATGAAAAATCTGAACCGGCTAGAATGTAGGAAGTGTAAACAGATACAAGCTATTTCCACCTTTGGCTACAGGGAGCATCACAACGCTTTTCCTGAAGTTCATGAAAATTTTCAAGAAGGGTAATTAATAAGAGGACAATAAACCATAATCAGCTTTTGGCCGACTCTTTTCTGATGATCTCAGTTTTCTTTGGGATAGCAGAGCCGGAGAGGTAGGAGAGGGGCTAAATAAGCATATGCAGGATCAAAATATAAACATCTACTCCATAATAACTTAGGTGCTATGCTACCACAGGCAGGACGATAGTACTAGGAAGAAGATTACTTCATGTTAAGCAGATCAACAAGAAGTTGCAGAGCTCCAGAATCTCCACATGCCTCCCATATTGCTGCTTGGACTTCTGTGTCAGTTGGCTGCCTCTCTCCTCCAGATCCAACAAGCTTGAAAACATTAAAACATAGTTTATAATATAATTATAAGTTTGGCGATCTGTACCAATAAAGTGGCTTTTCTTGCTTAAGAGGTTAGAAAGATTAACAAGACAAAAAAAATAAATCAATGGGAAAAACTAAAACATACAAATAATGAAGCACCTATACTCTGACTCTAATCAGAAGACATGGCGCTGTTAGCTTCTAGGTTTCCAGATGGCTCGAAAGGGAGAGCAGAAGTTGGAGAGTTTAATACTTCTTTGTAAATTCATCAGTTTAAATTCCATGGAACCTTTTAATTCATTTATAGCAAAACTTGCACACATTTAACATGTCTCTCCACTGATCCATTAACAGAAAGAGCATTTCAGTGGAGAACATGCTAATCCACCGCGTTCATATCCATTACACACGATTACGGAAACATTTAAAAGTCTAGCTCCCAACAGTAAAGCGAATGAATCTACATTCTCGTAGAAGCAAAAAGAAAACTCTAATTAACATAAGAGATTCATGATATTTCGTGTGATCAAGTAGTCACAGAACTGAAACTTGGGTAGTAGGAATAATACCAGAAACAAATTAGGAGACTTAGATTTTTTATCCCCTCTTTCACATTTCAAAAACTGAAAAGAACCAGGAGATGTTGCTGAAGATGGATCTTACCTCCTCAAGTAGGGAAGAAACACGATAAAGTTCATTTTCTTTCATTGCTACTGTTCTCAATGCATTCAAAAAATCTGCAGGAAATACTAGCTTATGCAAGTAAGAGGGCATCTTTCGTTGACCACTCCAACTATAATTGCAAACTTGACTACTGATGCATTTATCTTTGTCTTCCCCAGAAGCGTCTGATGGAGGGAAAAATCCACGATTTAGCAAACTTCGTGGTAAGAGGCATCTCAATTCAGCTTTCTGCAGACAGATATGAGCTTATCACTGCACATAGAGACACACCACGCCTGACTCTTGTTTGAGAGTTCCATGAAATTATTTGTAAGACAGAGTCTGCTGACCTGTGCTTCAAGAAGTTGAGCTTTGGACTCTGAGAATTCAATGTTTTGAATAGCTTCCACAGGATAATGAACCTGAAATTTTGTTTTCCAATTGTGTGTGTTTAATCCTTTCTGATATCTGTTATTTGACCACTTAAAGAAGATAAGCTTCCAAACCAAAAGAAACTGATGTGGATGAAGTAGTTCAAGGTCTTTACTAAGAACCTTCAGCACTTGATTCTGATCCATATGGACCTCTTAGTGCTCAGTGTTACATGAGGTTCTACTCAAAGAAGGCCTCTTAACATTTAAAGTGACTTGATGAAGTACATTTAATTATAGCTGTGAGGCTTGACATTGGACATGGACTGCGCACCATACCAAACAAAGACCCTAGCTTGATATGTTGTTAAAAGTGCCAGCAATACATCCATTATATTAGGTGTAGTCCAAAATTTTAATTAAGACCTTGAATACTGCAATTAGTCCACGCAGACCTTTACATTTTAATATGGGCCATGTTATGACATGGATGAAGACTAGATCAAGCATGCATTGCAACAAATGATGATTCAGAAATACATATTCGTTCAGATAGGTTACCATGAGATAGTCGTCAGGATTATCATTCATGACGAATCCATACAAGTACAGCAGTTCCTGTTACAAGATAACCACCTATTTTAACATGAAACATGAGAAGAATAAATAAAGGAAGGAGAAAAAGATAAACCAATTCTCAAAATAGTGAAAAGGACAGATTGACTTTGTTAAGAAGATTCAAAGCATAATGCAAAATCATAAAGCTTATGCTTCAATAAGTTAGATTTAATGCAACTAATAGCAATCAAGCAGGATATTAGCTAAATTAGATAAAGTAAACTCCATAAGAAAAAACCATTGTGTCTCATACTTTGAGATCCTTGCATGTAAAACAAATAAGAGAAATATATCACAGATCCTTTATCCTGCTTTAATATGTCAATCATTTTCAGAACATTGGGAGATTAAGAAGCCAACGCTATCGTAACCCCCACCCCTCCACCTTTTTCTTTTCTGACGAAGATAATGTATCTAAAAAAGAGTCATTATTTTCTGTCTTCAAGTAAGTTGGATTGAGATCTGTCAAACAGCCTAGCCAAAATCAAAAAACGCTTTCTACTGCTTTATGATCCAGTAAAGGGAAATAAGACAAAAAGTTGCATTCTTTTCTACATATTACACCAAAGCCATATAGACATCACCGGATGGGCTCATTAATGTAGTAGCTCAGTCACTAGTCAGTAGTCATGAATGTAACTTTCTCTCTCAGCAAGATCCTCTTTACTGGGTGATGATGAACAGTGGTGACCATACTAAAGCTACCAGAAAATTCATCAATGGCAAAAGACCAGCATTATCAGCAAGCAACTTTTCATTTGCAAAATTTGGTGTATGAAATCTCACATAACAGGTGAATGTACCTCATTTCCCTTGTCACCATAGCTAATTGAGATCTCTTTCTCGATCTGGGAAGGATTTTCTCCAGCTTTTTAATCAGGAAACACACATGTTAGTTGGCTAATCAAAAAAAAAAAAATAGCAAATAGTGTATAGCATGGATTGAAAAGAGAAAACTATAATAAATTTCTTAAGGATTTTACCCGAAAGAAGGTACATGGAGAAAGGAACTCCAGTTGTTGCTCCGGTTCCATCAACTTCCCAAGTTGCTGCAGCTTTGAAATCTGTAAAGCAATTATAGCAGAAAGGAAAAAAGATAAACACAAGCCATCTCAAAAAAAAAAAAAAAAAAAAAATTAAACACAAGAGCTTTTTGTTATCCAACAACTACGCCCAATCCCAAGCTAATTGGTGTCGGCATATAAATTCACACTATCCATTTCACTCCAATCTGGTCCAGTAATTGACATTAAATGAAGAACCTTTTAGATGGCAGAGAACACCATCAAGAAAGCTAGAAATAAATTGATGCACTAAAAATTCCCATCAAGATGAAGCTGAAATGGTTGTACCAATATAACCACATTCCAGACACTTCATATATACTCATCCACTCTTTACAACACTTAGTCAAGAAAAAAAAATACAAAGACTAACATATCAATCTATACATAACTACAAAGATCCAAGCAAGAAGTTGACTGAGTGCGCCTGATTGTAGTAAGCATAAATTGACACTATCTACTGGAAACAATAGCTTACTGGAGATAATAAAGGTGTCTCGAAAAGGGAAGCCATTAGTCTCGATATAAAGCCAAAATCATAATTTCTTGGAAAGCAAGGAATCCTAGTCTAACAGAATCTACACAGTAAACAACAGTTGCACAAGTCTTGCAATTGAAGTCAATCTTCTGATACTTTCTACTAATTGAAGAAAATTCCTAAAATAACGTTGTTTTATGGTCCTGGAGATACAAGATAGCATTATACATGTATCTAGACACTTGAAATAGTTAAAGCCTACGGAGAAAGGAAACAAGCGAAAAAGCAGCCTAAAAAATTACAGATATCAGGGAAGTAGCAAGATGGAAGATATCTTTTAGCTCGTTCTACATATTCTTACTCGGGTTCCATCACACATCCATATAATCACATTAATCAGTCAGAATTATTAAATAGTTCAAATAAAGAATTGCAGAGCAGCATTATCAGTGAATCCAGGAAGAGGTGGTGTCAAATGACTGCTAAATTACCATGGTTGCAAAAATCAATGCCTGGGACCAGACCTTCCACCCAAACTATCTCTCCTTGTGAGATGGAAGCAGCAGAAGCAACTTTATCTTGGAGTGCATCATGCTCGGCTACTGAAATCATAGGTATTTAAATTATAGACAGAACTAGATCTCATACTACCAAGAGAGAATAGGATTCCATCATTGGAGAGGGGAAATTGTTGGAAGAAACATATTCTAATGACAATGAACATTGACCTCACCTTTTGCAGACTCTCCGTTAGATAAACTGCCGCAGTCATTAGTAAGTGTTCCAGAATTTACGATTTTGCTAGAAATATCGCTATCTTCTACTTCTGAATTCGTCGGAAATACATAGCAGCGTGGAAAAGGGATATTTAGTGCTCGACTCCAAAAAATGGAGTTTGCCCTATGATGTCCACAAGATTAAAATGTATAGCAGCTTACGTAAAAATTAGTATACTATTGAACTGTGAAGATGAGGGCCATTGTTTAGAAAGACGAAGACTCTAGTTTCCAGAAAGATGCATACCAAAGGAAGTCTTCAAATCTCACATCTCTGCCAAAAAGCAACAAGTTAAGAACTTGTCAATCATAAGTTTAAAATTTTTAAATTAGAATAAGATTTCTAATACTGATGGACTTGCAAAGTCCAATACATCACAAGAACCACAAGACCAACACACTGGCTCGTGAGCCATTCAACTTCAAAAAGGTGAAAGTGCCTAAGTGATCAGTATATTATGTAACACCATTTGCACTGAATCCAAGTATACTAATATAATATGCATTCTCCACTGTACACTGGTGAGTGCAACATATAGCCTCTCTTCTTTTTTTTTTTTTTTTTTTTGAGAATGATAACAAGTTCTAGCTTTTTCTCTAGCATGAATTGTTCAACTAACCATCACTCCATCAGTAAATGTGAGTTTAGCATAGAGAGCAATCATGCAGGCATGGAACTACGTATTATTTCATTTACCACCTGAAGGAACATTGATTAATAACAAAATTATGATTAAAAGCACAAGCAACAAGCCAAAGGTTTTAATAATGACAACAATACAACTGAGGCTACCAAGTCTCTCTTGTATGCATAGGCAAAGAAGTGGTCAGCATATTATGCGACATCCTTTGCACAGAATATAAGCACAGTAATACACTATGTATTCTCCACGTAAAAAGGTGAGTGCAGTACATAAATTCGTATTTAGCAGTACGATATTCAGGCAGGGGTGGATTCTACATTCACCGTTAGTGATAAAAGATTGATATAGCACACACCTTTTTGGACGTCCATCGAGAGTTAAAAGCTTCTCAGCCAACCTTTTCACCTTTTCATCAAATAAAGACTGCAGCGTTTTCCTCTGCAACAGAAACCTGCCTTATGTTACATGTGCTTGATAGTGAATGTGAAGAACGGGTTAAAATTCATGCTAAAGTAGTAAAATAATTAGCTATCAAGGACAAAGACTGACAACTGGGTAGGAGGATTAGCTATCCAATTCCGAGAGGGGAAAAATGTCTCCAACTTATGTTATTAAGCTCACACTGGCATAGTGGCAGGTAGCAGATATATATGGCCAAAGAGAAAGGCCTAATTAATAGTATGCCATATATCAAGAAACCATACCTGCAACTGAGTAGCCCGATACAATGTGGTTCCTTTAAGCTCTAACACCTCATCGTCGGAAAACCAAAGTGGATTTCCGAATGTGGTTGGAAGCATATCAAAGTACCTGTTGTCTTTTAGCAATTATTGACACCGCAAAATACATTAATTTTCTATCCAAGAATGAACACTGATTAATATAATACTTACGGCTTCCATGAAGAGTTTTCTCGTAGGTGTTCCACGGTTAGAAATAAGGTAATCAAGAGTCTGTCATCTACTTCCCCTTCCTCAAACATAGCCCTACATTCGGGTCCGAGAAGAGGATCTTGAAGTACCCTCATTGGAGTTATAGCCAAATCTAATGGAACCACCAGAGGTATCCCTGATACAGTTTGACGAGCAAAATAAGCATGCACGATCATGACAAATTTCCATCTTATTCCTCTAAAATTAAAGTTTTCACTGCGCACAGAACAACAGCTCTACAAGAACAAACGAAAAAGGCACCAAGATACAACATTCAACTCAGATTTTCCTTTCATTATTTC